CTTCATTGTATCTTTTCTATAAATATTTTTTATGGTAATTGTTCTGATGAGTTTGTCTCTTTTGTACTTCAAATTTACGAATTTAGACGCAGTACTAGATTGGCAGTTAGTATTTATTTTACTAGAAATATAACTGTTAGTTCTATGCTAACAATTTCTTCTCTCACACTTGTCGCATTTGAATTTCTCTTCCGGCTTTTTGGTTTGTTGTCAATTTTAATCTTCAAAAATTTAAATGTAATTTCAATATTTGTCTTCTGTTGTCGTAATATCTGTTTTCTTATTTGCATTATTCGGACTGTTATCCTCATTTTCATTGCAATATTCCCAATGTTTATTCCGTTGTACGCTCTTCAGGTGACTGGAATTTTGAACCGAACACTTTATTTCGTCCACCGGGGTAGATTTTTTCTAGTTCCACATGCCATGCCTCTTCCGGATGTCTCAGTTATTTCCCTTTAACTCAACTCTCCAACTCTCTTCAACTGTTGATCTAACCAACGCCTAACTTGGAGAGTTGAGTTAAAGGAAATAACTGAAGCATGAGGAAGAGGCATGGTACAATCTACCCCGTGGACGGAATGAAGGGTTTAGTTCGAAATTTTAATCATCTGAAGAAGGCCGAAACCTTGTGAATAGGCCAATGAAGACGAGGAGGATTGTCCGAATAATGTAAATAATCATACTACCTAATCTGATAGATAAATACAGACCTGTTTTCTTATTGCTCTCTCTCTTTAATATTTTTTTGTTTTTTCTCATATTCCATCATTCTCACTAAGCTTTGCGTCTTAGTGGCTTTATTGCCTTGTTTGAATTGAAATGATTAAAATAATGTATTTAAAAATTTGGTGTTTACAGAACGACATTAACAAGCTAGTATTCCAGACCATAGATAATATAGTGGCTTAAATACTTCAGGAATGATTTATTAAATCTATATTTATTTTAATACCATGCCGCTTCGGAACATTGGTGATCATGTCTTTCTACATTGTACTTTTACTTATCTGTGAGTTTCTATGACTTCTTGGGAAAGGTAGTGGATCTATTTCCTGTTGTCTTCTCCGTGATTTGAAATTCGGAATTTTCCTCCTCGATTGAATGCCACCCAATTCTAGAGAATTCCCCTGACTCTAATACTATTTAACCCATAGCCGTGGCATATAAGAAATGTATTCATACCTTTGCCAACGGCATTAATGAGAATGTGAACAGGCAGGAATTTGATCTTGGCTCACCTATATCTGCGCCGATGACCATTAATCTACCCACGCATCATTTTCATGTGCCCTGTCTACGGAGGTCGTGGGCGATCATGGCTCTCCACAGTTTCTTGTCTTTTGTAACGCTGAGTAAATGTTCCCTTTTTGCTATCTTTATTAATCCCTGTTCTTTCATGTACATTAATCATATTAGGACTAATATCCCTATCTTTGTTATCACAACGTTTCAACCAAGTGGTCCCTTCAGCTTTCCTCAGTAGCCAATCCGAATGACCTTTAGGAAATTTCGAACTGAACACTTTATTTAATATATAGCGACACAGTGTTCTCGTTCCGGTTTCCAGGTTTAGGGATATTTCGTGTTTTTCTATTTTTTTAAATGTAATCATTTCACCCCATTCAAGGCAATAAAGCCACTAAGATGCAAAGGGTTACTGGGTGTTAGAGAACATGAGAAAAACATTATTAAAAGAGAGAACATTGAAAGAACAAAAATTAAGTAAACAGTAGATAACGATTGAATTTTTTTTAAAAATCAACTTCACGCTAAGCAAGGTAATAAAGTCACTAAGATGCAAAGAGTTACTGAGTGTAAGAGAATGAGAAAAATAAACTATTACAAGAGAGAACATTGAAAGAACAATCATTAAGTAAACAGCAGATAACGATTGAATTTTTAAAAAAAGTCAATTTCACACCTAGCAAGGTAATAAAGCCACTAAGATGCAAAGAGTTACTGAGCGTCAGAGAATGAGAAACAATAAACTATTACAAGAGACAACATTAAAAGAACAAGAATTAAGTAAAGAGTAGATAAAGATTGAATTTAAAAAACAAAAACAAAACAAAACAAAAAAAAAAACATAATTTCACGCCAAGCAAGGCAATAAAGCCGCTAAGATGCAAATTTTGGTAGAATTAGGAACAAAGACTACTAACGAGCGGGAAGTGAAAAGAATAATCGGATGGACAGTTGATAGCGTTTCGCATTGCATTTAAATTTTTGCAGATTATAAATGGCTGGAAAGTATGGATCCTGAAGGGATTTCCACAACCGAGAAAAGAAACTATTACCGTAGAAATGTTACAGGTAATCAGCTCAAGTGCAATTTGATGAGATATCGACACCAATCTAGTATTGCGCATAAAGTCTCTATATTATATTCTGTTAGGATTACTGGGAAAAAGGATTTATTTTATGTATTATTTATACTTACATTACTATCATCGTAACTTTTCGACTGTTATGCCCCGCAGTCCTGTTCAGTTGTCTGTAGGTCCGTGCTATCTTTAAGGAACTTCGTACTGGTTATTTTATTTAATCTAGAGGAGTAGTGATTTTCCAAGCGTAGCTTAGATGTGGACACAAGGCCAATAGTATGGGGCACCCAGTGAGGATCGTACTCACTACTCGGTCGTAAACTGTTCTAGCGAGACAAGCTTGCGAACATATACACCGCCTCGAGGTACCCTTTAATCTACAGGAGTATATTGCTCTCGTTTCTCTGTCCAGGTCTAGGGATATTTCGTCTTCTTCTTCTTCTTCTCAGTTACAACTCGCTCTGCTTGTAGTGAGTCCAGATCTTTACGAAATGAGCTAGGGATTGAAATCATAATTACTAACTGATTTTTTTGTTTGTTGTTTGTTTGTTTACGGCTTATCCATCTCTTGTAGATTATTTTGAATTATAAGAATATCTTTAGGTGATTGGAATGTCGAACTGAACCCTTTATTTCGCTCGCTGGGGTAGACTGTTCTAGTTCCACCTGAAGAAGGCCGGAGCGTACAACGGCCGAAACGTTGTGATAAATATGGCAACAAAGATGAGGACGATAGTCCGAACAAGGTAAATAGTGTACATAATTCCTCATCTCAGAATTATAGACAATTTACTAGCCTTACTATTTAACTCATAATTAGTGAGAAGATATGGATTCATACCTTTCCCAAATATATTTACAGGAAAGTGCCTATAAAACCCAAATGGAATTCGAACTCCTCGATTTCTCTCTCCATACGGCTATCCTTTACACTACCCGCATATATAATACTTACTGAAGGTTACTCGAATCGACATACCCCTGACGAAAGCCAGAAAATACAACGGTCGAAACATCATGATAATAACGAAAAGGATTCGGACATAATTAATGGATAATTGATGTTTTTGCTTGTTTGTTTGTTTTTGTTTTTTGTTTTTTTGTTGTTGTTTTTACGGCTTATCCACCATTTGTAGCTTACCTTGGATTATAAGAAAAAGTCTTTTTTACGAGTTAATATTACATTAAGAATGCTTAAGAATAAGTGATTTTTTCAGATACTAGCTTTACTATTTAACTCATAACTAGGGGGGGGTATGGATTCATACCTTTCCCAAATATATTTGCACGAAAGTGGCTATAAAACTCAACTGGAATTCGAACTCGACTCGCCGATTTCTCATTCTAAACAGCTATCATTTACACTACGCGCACATCCCATACTTACCGAAGGTTACTCGAATCGACATACCCCTGACGAAAGCCAGAAAATACATCAGTCGAAACATCATGATAATAAGGAAAGTGATTAGGACATTAATCTTAATATAAATAATGGTAGCTCCTTATCTCAAACATTCAAAAATAAATTATCGAATGTATTGTTTTTTTTTTTCAAATGGATTGTTTTTGCGTATCAGAAAATGCACAAATATTATGACCTTAAATTTTTTTAATCTAATTAAGCGCCTGTCATAAACAATCGTTAGTTGAATTGTTTCGTAGACTACTGTTTGTGCTAGAAAATAATTCTGGGCTGCCCATATTTTTTAACCTTATACCAGACTAAAATATTATTACTTGCTATTGGTACTTTCATCGGTGATGGTGATGGTGGGAGCGGCGTTCTTATACGACGTCCTGTCTGTCAAAAGAGTAAACTTTATGAAACACCAGCTGAAAAGAACAAAACCAGCGATCGACACACCAATTTCCAGGCATTTGTTCGTTTCGTTGTTGTTGATATAGCCAGGAGTAAGAAAAGCAATGAGCGGGAAGACAATGACAATAAAATAACACTGACAAATAAAGAACGGCCAAGAAGAACAACAACTATTTGCGTAATGAGAACAACGACAATAAAAACAATTACCAATTAGACGTCGACAGAGTCAGAGACGATACTCCGCGAGGAGGACATCTCTGACGCCATATTTGAACGTTCATGACAAAGACAGATAATGCCAGCGGCAACTGTGACGGAGCAAGTGTTTAATAGAATAAAATTTACGTTGTTCAGTCGAATGAATAATTTCCGAATGGCACTCTCACTAAGAGATTAAAATTACCAAAAGCAATCTTATAGTGCGAAAGGAATCTATCTTATTCTCTCTCTTCCTTCTTTACCTTTTTTTTTTCTCTCTCGTTCTGTTTAGGTGTATACGTGTGTGTGTGTGTGTGTGTGTGTGTGTGTGGAGTATAAACCTATACATATATGTGTTTACTACTATACGAAAATATTGACTTGGGTTTTGTGCTAACTTTTTGCATATAGGTATATGTTAACCTCACAATAATTTTTCTCAGTACAGGATAAAAAATGTTTTGCTAACCTCCAAAAATTCGGTACAGTTTTTTGTCTAAATTGAAAGGTTTGTATTCATTTCCCTTGCCAATTCCGTATTCCATTCCCTTCACTAGTCCGTATTCCCTCAACTAGTCTGTATTTCATTCCTTTCACTAGTCCGTATTCCATTTCCTCTAATACTCCGTATTCCATTCCCTCGACTAGTCCGTATTCCATTTCCTTCACTAGTCCGTATTTCATTGCCTTCACTAGTCCGTATTCCATTCCCCCGACTAGTCCGTATTCCATTCGCTTCTCTAGTCCGTATTCCATTCGCTTCTCTAGTCCGTATTCCATTCGCTTCTCTAGTCCGTATTCCATTCCTTTCTCTAGTCCCCCGAAAAGTCCCTATTACATTCCTTAGCCTTTACCAGAGCTTCAACATCGGCATGATGTCTCTGGATCTATTTCAAGTAACACCATCATTTGATTGATCCTTTATGTGCGTGAATTTTAATCTTGCTAGGAACGTAAACTCTTATGGATTTGTGCAACACCGGGCACCTCTTGCAGTGGGTGTTGCATTAATATCTTGGCGAACTTTCATAGGTCTTCATTCAGTGTTTTGCCTTTTGTCGGTTAGAGGCAGCCACTCTGTACATGCTGGCTGCGATTCGATTCCAAGTCATACCATCGCTTGATTTATTCTCAAATCTGTGCAGTGTGGACGTGACTTTTTAGTTCTGCTAGGGCATTACACTGATTTTCGCAGATGTGGCAAAGTTTTTTGGTGAAATTTCAATGTGTGGCCTTTTTGATGTTCTTTGATGCGACAAGATCTATTACATGTTACATCAAATTCTATGCCAACGTTCTCCTTAAAATAACATCAAGACGATCTTAAACATCTCTCTTGCATTTTTCATGTCCAACACGATTCGGTTCGAATCTATCTAACCCATGTTCAGAATTCTAACATTCTAACCAGTCGACTTGAAATATGCCTGCATACATTCACTGTCTACTCATCTTTGTCGCCATATTTGTCACAACGTTTCGGCCGTTGTACGCTCCGGCCTTCTTCAGGTTTTTGGAATGTCGAACTGAACCCTTTATTTTGCTCACTGGGGTAGACTCTTCTAGTTCCACGTGCCATGTTTGATAGATGCCTGTTATCAGTTACCTCCTGCTAATTTCCCTCTGAAAGTTTTCCACTGCCTTAACCGGATATTGAACTCACACTCTTTTGTTCCTGTCACTGGATCTAACCAACGCCTTTGTGGCATGTGCCCTTGAGGACATCTGGGCATGAATTTCTGGGTATTATATTGTCTTCAGCAACCATTTTTACCAGTGCTCATATTGCAATTTTGCTGTTATCATTTCATGTTTTTACCAGAGCTCATATTGCAACTTTGTTATCATTGCTTTTCTCTGGCACTCCTTATTACTGGTTCCCATATTGTATTTATTTCTATGCAAAAATTTTACATAAAATATTTGACAATACCTTATTTGCATATAATCTCTAGACGCAGTTTCTGAGATGTTCTCTACCCGATGATGATGGCATTCCAAATAGAAAATGTTGATGCATGGACATTTGGTCAAAATTTTGAAATGGATCAGACTGAAAACATTTCAGACCCATTCCTGAACAATGAATACATAAATAAAACAAAGAAACACCATTCTGAACTCTTGAATAATCCCTCGAAACTGGCCACTCAGTTATTGGATAGTTTATATTTAAACATTCTCGAGAAACCAGGAAAATGGTAAGAAATAGGGAAAAATAAATAAATAAAAAAAGACTGAAGCCGAAATGCCAGGTCAGGGCCGATAATATTGCATATTCTTCTTTTGAATTCTGTCAAGAATATCTAGATATATAGTGGCAGCAATAATGAAGGCAGGGACGAATAGTAAACTTTTCGGGGTTAAAATTTGTCTAGGAACACTATGAACGAAAGTCCATAGCAAAAGACCTAGCATTTACTTCAATATAATCATTCCACTTCAGATAGAGGGATGGAGAAAGGATGCTTTAGATATAAACCTGCGCTAAGATACCATCAAAGTATAGATATAAATTGAGATTGCTCGCTAGGAAGATATTTAAGATAGATAAGCTCAGGTGGATTTCGTTTTATAGTGACAGCTATCATGAGAATATTGGTAGATATGGTCTTACCTATATATATATATATATATATATATATATATATATATATATATATGTGTGTGTGTGTGTGTGTGTGTGTGGCCTGACGATTGCATCTAGCATGAAACAGACTGTCGTTTCTAAGTGTTGACTTTATGAGGTTCTATATCCTTATATATATATATATATATATATATATATATATATATATATATATATTACCCCATATTAACTTAACTAAAATTTCAGTAAAAGAGATTACCTATCTAGAAACAGTCACGAGTTAAATTCATGAACAAAATTCAAACGGATAGAGATGTCAACTTGATAATCAATAATAAAATGTTTTTAAAGAGATTAAAAAAAAAGATTACTAGAAGTAAACTTAACTTTTAAAATAAAATTTTATTCTTTTAATGTACTTTCTGTGAATATTTTTCTAATCGACTATTTCATAGAAAATTCCCAAAATTTTAATAAAATTTAAATCACTAACAAACATCAAATTAAATCATTTGTAGACAGTTTAGAGACATTTAAATTTATATCAAACATTATAATCTTTATGAACCCCCAAAATAACACTTTGAAAGTAAAACAAAATAACAGCGTCTTTTCTAGCCTTTTTTTACAAAGAAAATTAGTGAGACTTTCTCTCATAACTTCCTTATCTCTTTTTCTCTCTGGGTTTTTTCTTCTCTACCCCTTCGTTATCAATATATAACTTCCGTTAAGTTAACCGTTTAAATGTGTCAATATCTGCTAACTCACTCATGTCTTCTCTCCCCCCCACACCCTCACTTCGTTAATTTACATATGTTTAATACGGCCCGTCAAAAATGTGTAAATTTTCTTTTCATTTCTTGTTTGGAAGTAAAGTCTGATGATCCGCAGTCCTTTTAAAAGGGTTGTGGTGAAATAATCTATTACATGGAACCTTAAAGTGGTCTGTTTTTATTTAAATTATTTGCTCTGGATTTACATTGAGCTCTCTGGATTTTATCCTCCTTAGGTTTACCCATACGGATTACCTAGTTTTTCATAAACGAAATATACATGTAGATAATATTAGTGGTTAATATACACATACATATGCAATCATATATCTAAACTACGATTACGATTCCAATAGAATAAATTATGACCATGGGAATATTAGTGTTTAAACCTTTTTATAAATAATATATATATATATATATATATATATATATATATATATATACATCGATGTATATATATATATTTTATATTTGCATCTCTCTCAATCTCTTTCTATGTATATATATATATATGATATCTATATTTACATCTGTCTCTCTGTCTCTCTCTCTCTATATATATATATATATATATATCAATCTATATCTATATTTACATCTCTCTTCTCAATATATATATATATATATATATATATATATATTTACATCTCTCTCATATATATATATATATATATATATATATATATATATATATATATAATGGGTGAAAAAGAAAGGTTCACAGGCGCATAAATATATGGATAAAATGGTACGCAACTTGGGCAATTATCAAATGGAATGACGGAAAAATCGTCCGATTAACCGTGTGCACACTCATATGGAAAAAGACGTGTACACTGTTATTTTGTTTAAGTTTCTTACTTTACTCATATCTTTCTTTTTGTTACATACTACATTTTTGTTAGCCTTAGCCAGTGAGATCATATATTGAGCGTTTTAGAAATTATTGAAACGAAAAGAAAGAGGAAAATGAAAAACCAAATTCAAAGACAGATTTAAAAAAGCATAAAACGTAGTTAAATGATATCTGTAGGTGATAATTGAAGACGCTTAACGGTGGAGATATGCAAGACAATGATTGATCTGCGCCAGTCACGCATATTTCTTTATTTTCGAAAATGGCCGCTCGATAAAAAAAAAGAAAGAAAAAGCAAGCAAAGAAAATTAAAATAACAATCCCTCCTATTTTTTTTTCTTCCGTATCAAAAGACTTCTGGACGCACCTCATTTTATGGCGAGATTGGTTCAGTTACACAAGCACGTACTTTTAAGCTATGCTGTGTCGGTATTTGGACGTATCAGAAAGAAATATTAAAGTTATCAGTCTGGATTTCTTGTGGCAAGATTTCTTAAAATAAAAATAATAAACATATTCGCGATAAAAAGAAAAAAAATGTGTTAAAACAACGCTTTAAGTATATACATTTTGAATTAAGATTTCCTATCAAAAACATATGTATAAGAAAATTGTTTGTTCGTTGTGTAACTGCACTTCAATACACAAATGTTTTCCTGATTTTTTAAAATTTCTTTAGGTTAGACGTCACAACCGGAGTGGCTTGTTATTAACATATTCCATACATGATTGCGTCTATTTTCTGCAAATATTTGCATGAAATTTGGCTGATTGTCCTGAAAGCGGCCAATATTAGAAATTTATATAAACTATCTTTTATAAAGTTTATTTTATTTCCCATATGATTTTTTTCTCTGTCTCGTTATTTGGCGGACATATTTTGTATCGAGTGAGTTAAAGTCACACCTTGTGTAATGTTTTTTTTTTGTTTCTTCAAAGATCTCAGCTGAAAATTGTTGAATGAATTTTTCCTTCAGGAAATGAATAGTTATTTACCTCCAGCTTTATTTTTCGTTTTTTTAGAGTAATATGCAAACATTTTTATTTATATCAATTTTGCGATGAAGAATTTATTTTATATGCTATGTCCTTTAAGATTATGGACGATTAACTCTCGACAAAAGTTCCTTTCATGTGTTACGTTAAGTAATCTTTAAACTTTCAATATCTATCTCTGTTCTGAATCTGTCAAATATTTATTTGAACCTATGTTTCACGAGTTCTCACCTCTGATTCCTTAGCCATTAAAAATAACAGTCAACTAATTACATATTAAAGGTTTCTGCTTCTCTATTAAAGTCAATTGATTCTCTTTTAAATTTTATATTTAATCACAGCAATTTAAGGATAGGAAATTATGGAACGCTAACGCCCTGAAGGGACACAGCATACAGAATCTCTAACGGCTATTCATTAAAGTCTAATGAATTTGTATTAAAGTTCAAAGGATTTCATAGATAATCTATTAATTCTATAGTAAATTAGGTTTCCTATTAAAAAGTAATGCATCTTTATTAATGTCAGTTAATTCACTGTTAAAGACTAATGAAATCCCATTGAAAACTCTTCTGATATTGAATAGTCGTCAGCCAACATGATATCAGAATTTATTCCTTTTTGTACAT